CTATTTTATTAAGAGGTGCTTAAAAAATAACTTTGTATGCACAAAAAAATAAATCTTTAAAAAAAAAAAAAGGGCAGGAGAAGCAAGTAATTACAGTGCACTGGAGCACTTGTACTAATTGGGGCCCAGAGACACTCCATACAGCAGAAAAGGGGTACCTCAAACCCACAGAACCTCACACCATCCCCACCAAAGTGCATTTCAAGTATTGCTTTTATCTACCCCTCCAACCCCCAGAGCTATACCCAAGCAACAAGAATTTAAACTGAATAGTAAGCAACTGCTGAATAGGATGGTGGGGATGGGGAAGTGGGGTGGGTGATGGAGGTGAGCACAAAAAGATTATGCACAGAAGTTGGCTGGACAATCCCCAGGTGGACATTGGGGAAGCAGCTCACACTTCCTGGCCGCTGCTTCTAAAATCAGCCTTCAAGAAAGCCTGTGTTGGTGTGTGAGACCTGCCAACAGGTACCACCTGGTACTCCTCAGAGGCCCTCCTTCCCTCCTTTAGTATCTGACAGTCTCCATTTCACAAAGTGGGTGGGAGGGGTTGTGACGATGATATGTGAAATTATTGGTTTTTAGTGAGGAGAGGCAGGCTTATTAAAGGCATTACCATCAAAAACATTACTCCCGGCCCTCCCTGGTGGTGCAGCGGGTTAAAGCACAACACTGAGAAGCTAAAGCCACTTCCGCATGAGTTCGATTCCCGCCTGCCCCAGAGGTGACCACATGGTGCGGCAGACCTCTCCTGACCGGCCCGCTGCTCCCCTCAGCAGTGTACTTCGTCGATCTGCCTGTTCTGCTCCCCACTCTGTCTCTGGTGAAGCCTCTCACCGCGTCTGAGGCTCTGGCCTGTACCCCAGTTCTGTATGCACAAATAAATAAATCTTTAAAAAAAAAAACACAACATTACTCCCTATGTCCTCCCTGGTGGCACAGCAGGTTAAAGCACAGCACTAAGAAGCTAAAGCCACTTCAGCATCAGTCCAATCCCTGCCCCAGAAGGTGACCACATGGTGCAGCAGACCTCTCCTGACCGGCCCACTGCTCCCCTCAGCAGTGTACTTCATCAATCTGCCTGTTCTGCTCCCCGCTCTGTCTCTGGTGAAGCCTCTCACCAACCCTATGGCCTGTACCCCAGTTCTGTATGCATAAATAAATAAATCTTTTAAAAAAATTTACCCTAGATTTTCTGTGTGACTTTCAGACCACATTTTGGGATGTTCCACCGGGATTTAGGTAGCTAACACCCATTTCCTATCATCTTCTGAATCTTGAAATATTTTGCTTTACAAAATATTAACACAATTTGTGGTGTGTGGGTAGGGAGGATGGGGAGGGACAAGGTTTCAATCCACACTGAATTTTTTCAGAGTGCCTGTAAATAAAACAAAGATTGAACTTTTACTGCTAACTTTACTTAGACCATTTAAAAAATCCTATCACCAGTAACATTTGTAGCTTCGTTTTTAACGTTTGTGTACACTAATGTTTTCATACCGAACTACATACTATTTGACAAGCTACTACTTCTTTATATAGCATTGGCTGTGCTTGTAGGCATGGTAGGGTTTTGCTGTCGAGAAAGGGGCCTAATAGAACATTTATTCTGCAAAGGGGCGTCAACGATAGGTCCCGCCCCCAGCGCGTCTCCGCCTCCGCCACACTCAACATGGCGGCGACGCAGAGCCGCCGAGGCACCTGAGCAAGTCGCCAGTGGCGGGTCTCCACTCCAGTCATGGCGGCACCTCGGCCCGCACGGGGCAGCGGGCCTCTGGAGACGTGCGAGCTGGAGCGGATTTTGGAAGCGTTGAAGCTGCTGCTGAGCCCGGGAGGTGAGAGGACGCATGTCGACCGCCAGTCTTCCAGGACTGTCCTGACTCCCACAACGTGCTCCCGTCTGGTAGTCCCCGGGCCCGTCGGGCCCCGAGTCTCGCTCTTGGCGGGCTCTGGGTATCGTCTGCCAGGCCTCACTTTACTGTTGAGGAAACCGAGGCTCAAGGAAAGGAGTGGGGACGGTTGAATACTTATATTAACCTGCGTCTCTTAAGCGCTTACCTTGTGCCTGGCACTATTGAGCGCCATGGGTAACATTACTTCGCTCAGTCCTGACTGCGACCCTGTGAGGTGGGCACTACGGGACAGCCTCTGAGAGGGTCGGCGCTGGTGACGTAGAAAGCGAGCGCCCAACCCTTTCGGCGCGCGCTCTAAGGCGGAGATTTAAACAACACGCGGAGTCCAGCAAAAAAAAAAAAAAAGCCGCGGTTTAGATATAGTGCTATTGACTGCATTAGAAATGAAGGCTTTTAGAGGAACTTTTAAAATGAAACGTTAATGCCATTTTAAATGAAAAACAACATTTTATAAAATAAGTTAATAGGAAGGACGGTATTTTACAATTTTTCAAATCTTATTTGTCTGGTTAATTAGGAGACCGTTAACGTTTCATATTTCTTTGTTCAATATGACATGATAGGAGGAGAAAATCTAGACTTACATAGCTATGTAGTTGGAAAAGGGAGATTTCGTTTTAGATAATTGTGTTATGCTCTACTAAAACTCAGCAACAGGTACTTTCTGAAAGATTAATGGTAGTATAGAACCTGAATTCAAAGAAATTTTCATTCTTGGTCCATTCATGGGGAAACGAGAGCAGAAATGTAAATAATACCTTAGTATTAATATGAAAATAGTTTGGATCTCGCAGACTCCCTGAGCAAAACTTGGAAAACCTTCAAAACCTAATTCTTTATACCACACTTTCAGAACTGCTTCTTTAAGGAAATGCCTTTATTTCTTCTCAAGTAGATTGTATTTTTATTACCAGCAGAGGGCAGAGAAGACTATTTTATTAAGAGGTGCTTAAAAAATAACTTTGGTAAATCACAGTGACTCATGTTTGGGTTAAAATATAAGTATGCAGGAAGTCACTTAGAGATTGTTTGGCTGTAGTAATAGTGCCAACACTAACCATTAGAGAGCACTCATTTCCTTTTTTTAGGTATATATTAACCAAAACCACCAGAAATTCATGTCAGTGGGTCAGGACACTTACCCTGGACAATCCTCCAGAAGTACTGGACAGTTCTTTCTCTTCTCATTCTCACTGTTTTTAAAGAATGAAATTATTGTTCATATGTATTTCTTTTTGCAAAAGTAGTTACTATTCCTTATGGTTACACTTAAAAAAAAAATAGAAAGTAAGAGATTAAAATTAAAATGGCTTAATCCTACCAACCTGAGGGTACATTTTGGGATATATTTGTCTACCGAAAGTGGTCTTATATACTACATAGTTGTTTTTTTTTTTTTTTAAATATAAAGGCAATGCAATCACTGTAGGGAGAAAAATAAGAGTATAATTAAGCAAAAAAGAAAAATCACCCATAACCCTATGACCCAGAGATGATCATTGTTCATATTTTGGAGTATAACTTTTGAGAATCTTTTCTATCTTTATACATAAATACACATATGTACATAGACATGCTTATATTTTAATATGTAGTTAGTTAATACTTAAGTTCATATTGCTCCTGTATTGATCAGTTTTCACAGTAATAAAGTAATAGTCCTAGTAATCTGCAGAGGTCATCATTGAAGTATCTTTTTTGCTGTATTATATACTAACAAATTTCTTGTATATATGATATTGTTCATGGTTCTTGACATTCAAACTGTCCCATTTGAGGGCCACTTAAAGGTGCCTCCTGGGCTCTTTGACATGACCCTGGTATTCTTTGATAGCTTCCTTTATTTTCAGGCATAAGATGTCCCAGATACCTCTTATATATTTCTTGCTCCCTTCTTTTGTGTATGTGTATGTGTGTGTAGAACTGGGGTGTAGACCAGATGTGCCTCTGTGTGTGTGTGAAAGTGAGAGAGGTTCACCAGAGTCAGTGGGAAGCCAGCAGGTGGATTCACTGAAAAACACTGCTAAGGGGAGCAGTGGGTGAGACAGGAGAGGTCTGCTGCGCCAAATGTGGGTTAGCAACCTGGCTGGGGGTGGGACTCAGGCTACTGCAATGGGCCTTGGCAGTGATAGGGTCCTCTTGCCCCATTCTTTAAAGCAACTCTCTTTAAGGAGAAGTGATATTCAGAGGCCATAATATGACCACTAGTGTAATGACTGCTACTGAAGTATTAGTTCTTCATACATTACCCATTGATTAGAGCTTGGAAATGCATGGATTTTCAGAAAACAAAATATAAATCAGTTTTACTGTTATTCCTAATTACAATGAAATATTACAGTGTTTAAATTGTTCCTAGTATTTTATTGTGAAAATTTTCAAGCCTATAGAAATATTGAAGAATTTTACAATGAAAACCCATATTCTGTGACCTTCATTCTTTATCATTTATTTATCTACTTAGCTATTCTTATGTATTTTACATTTGTGGTTTTATTCACATATGAAAATATTGGTTCCTACGGGGGAAATATATATATATATATATATACACACACATACATAAGTATATAACCATTCATTTATATACAAGTGTATATAATATTTTAATAATAAATCTAATACCACCACCATTAACAAACCTTCTGTTCGTAAGGGACTTTTGTTCATTTGACTGATTTTTGTCCTCAGATATATCATCAAAGTTCTGTGTATCAAGTAACTTGAAATAATTTTCTGTGTAGTTATGCTGCTAACTTGATATAAAGCGGAAGTCTGCAACTGTAAACATGCTAAATATTTTGGGCTTTGTGACCCATACAGTTTCAGTTGTAAATACTTAGTTCTGCTATTGTAGCTTGAAAGTAGACATAGATAGTTTGTAAGTAGATGGACATGACTCTGTTCCAGTGAAATTTTATTTATGGAAATAGGTGATAGGTGTGATTTGACCTGCAGATTATAGTTTGGCAACCTTGATTCCACATATTGGGTATTATGAGGTGGCATATTCAAATAAATACCCAAAAGTGGGTTAGCTGGATCATGTGGTATTTATATTGTTTGGGGGCAGGTGCGGAGAGCAGTCCATGTTGTTTTCCACAGTGGCTGCTCCAATTTACTTCCTACCAACAGTGCACAAGAGTTCCCTCTTCACATCCTTGCCAACACTATTCCTTGTCTTTTTGATGATGGATATTCTCACAGGTCTGGGGTGCTCTGTCTTTGTTTTGATTTACATTTCCTTAAGGATAAATAAGGATGAATATATTTTCATGTGCCTTTTCCCATTTCTATATCTTCTTTAGAGAAGTGTCTATTCAGATCCTCCGCTCTTTTTAACACTGGGTTGTTTGTTGTTGAAATTTGAGTTCTTTATGTATTTTGGATATTAGTCCTTTGATAGATGTGTCATTTGCAAATATATAGATGGTTTTTTAAAAAATGGCTTTGGTCAGCTCATCATAGAGGAATGCTCAGAACTTGCTCTGGAAATATCTGGGCGAGGAAAAAGGGCCAGCAGAGGAGACATGGACAGAATGGCCATAGAATACCAGCAGCAGGGATACGAGGGGTAACTCAGTGGCCAAAGAGGAGTTTCAAAGAGGGGGCCATTAACTATCAATTGCTGTGGAGGGTGAATATGGCTCTCTCATCAGTAGAGAGCAGAAAAGACCATTTTAGGAAAGGTCAGGAACAATTGAGACTAGAAGTGATCACTCTAGTAGTTTTAAGTCCTATGTCTACATTTTGAGATCTGCCTTACTGGAATGTAATAGCATGAGGGGAGGGACTTTGGTTCAGGGCTTTATCTGTGGCACCTAGAACCATTCACATGAATCTTGTACGGTAAGTTACAGCCTTTGACATTTCTGTTGTATTTACAGTTTAAGCCCAGTAAGACAACATGGTCTCTGTCCTCAAAACACTTGCACAGAAGCAAGCTAGTGGAAGTGTAACATGTTAGGTCCATGTTCCGACCATGTCCAGACTGTGTGGGAAGGTGGGACACGTGGTCTTGAATTCTGCCACGGCCTCCGAGCCAGGCCTCACTTTGTTTTCCTTGTATATGATCTTTTTGTTGATTTGTCTTTAAAAGGATCAGACTCCAGTTCACTGCAGATCACAAAGCATGATGTCCTGTTGGCTACTTTGAAATCTAACCTGTCTGCTTTGGAGGACAAGTTCCTGAAGGATCCTCACTGGAAGACATTGAGACTCCTCAGGGATGAAATTGCCAAAAAGGCAGAATGGCCACAAAACTCTGTGGATGTCACCTGGAGTTTTACCTCCCAGACCTTGTTGTTGCTGTTATGCTTGAAGGAAACCATGGTCCACCTTGCAGCTGATTTCAGCCCAGGTAGACCCAACCCTCGCACACCCGAAGCCGCTCCCGCCTTGAGCCCTGATACACTCAGCATCTCTCAGCAGAAGACTGTGCAGTCTGCCTTGCAGTTCGTGGTCACCTTGGGACTCTGCCCCTACCTCATGCCTGGTGTGGGGGTCCCCCTGCGATCCAGGACTGCATTTGGGGCCATTGTGCCAGATGTGGTCTGTCTCGATGCTGCCCCTGCTGCCACCCAGAGACTGTACAGCAGCTGCAGGATCCTCTTAAATGTTGCTCAACACACTGCTCTAGGGAGCTTGATTTTTTGCCGCCATTTGGGAGACATTGTAGCAGGCCTGTGCCAGCTGGGATTCTGCCCAACTAAGAGAAAACCACTAAAGCCTGAGGAAGAGGTGAGCGCACGAAGAGAGAATGTTTTTATTTGTGTATGGTTGTTGTGAAAGACAATTCCTAGTTCTTTGGAAAAGTTGGAGAATTCCTATTGAATCGCCAAAGCCTACTTAGTGGATAAATCGCTCTTTTAAGGGAGTTAGCACTTCCATTTGTCCCTTCTTGTCACTGGGTGGAACAGATACTCTGGCCATTTCTTTGAGCGCTTGTTTCCTCTGATATAAAATGTGGATAATCACTCCTGCCTTGGAAGGTGTTCTGAGAATTAAGGATAATTTGTGTAAAGTACCTAGCCCAATCCGCAGCAGTGTTCATTAAAAAGTAACTGCTACTAATATTAGCATTAAACTATTCATACCTCTTTCGTTAAGTTCTTGGGAGGACTAAATGAGATAAAGTGGGAAAAGCACTAGGAACACTGCATAACTCAGTATTCATGCTATTAGGTATTAGACACATTGGCTTGCTTTTTGCTCATCCTTAGGAGCTGAGTGCTTAGACCTGGAAGGTTTTGTGGAGGTTACAGAAACATCAGACAGTCCTGTCCTCAAGCAGCTCACGTACTAACTGGGGAGACAGTGTTCACAATATGTCAGAGCAGGACATACCAGTACTCCCCTGACAGAAGCCATGAATAAGTTCTCCTAACCAGAGCTGAGTGAGGAGGTGGAGAGAGGGCTGGGGGCATTTCAGTAAGGCAGCCTTCTCCTGGTGGAAGGAAATGAAGAGGTGAAAGAAGCCTCTTTCTTTCCCCTCACAAGTTTACACAGTCAATAAACATTACTTTCCATTGCATGCCTGATTTGAATTCTGCTAAAGCCAGTGTTTCTTTTAGGTGTTAACAGAAGAAGAAAGAGCTCTCTCTAAGAAGGCATTGAGGGACATACTCGATCAAGTGTATCAGCCACTAGTAGTGCGAGAGTTGCTTCTCCTCCAGGGAGGACCCCCCCAGGTAATCAGGCCGGGGACTCTGTGGTGAACAGTGGGGGACATTGTATGCTGACTGTTCCCAGGAAAGTTGATGACCTGGTTGAATTTCATTTCATCTTTGATCTTTAAATAGGCAATCTGTGAAATGAAGTTATACTGACCCTTAGAGTACCTTTTAATGTGTTTTTGACTTAATGGAATAATGGACACTTTCTCCAAGAAAACAGTGATCATCTTTTTTTAAGACTTATTATTTGAAAGTTTTCTTTAAAATATATCTTCTTTATTCTGAGACTGGATTTTTTTTAAAGAACTGGGGTACAGGTCAGAGGTGTGAGGGGTGAAAGGATTAAACAGAAACAGAGGGGGGAGCACAACAGGTAGATTGATGAAGTACAGTGCTGAGGGGAGCAGTGAGCAAGACACGAGAGGTCTGCCGTGCCGTGTGGGTCAGCTCCCTGGCCAGAGGTTGAACTTGTGTTGCAGTGGGTGCTGCTCACTTCGTAGTGCTGCACTTTAACCCATTGCGCCACCAGGGAGAGCCCTGAAACTACATTTTTTTAAACTATAATTTGATTCTTTGACAATACATTCTATTTGACATCTTAATATTTGAGTAGAGTATTTGAAGTTAAGAAGTTAAAATTAGTGCTGTTATTGGGGCTATTTTTAGGTCCTCTGAGAAACATAATGGTATATATTCTTCTAGGCTTTAGACAGTTTTTTTTTTTAATTTAAAGATTTATTTATTTATGCATAAAAGAACTGGGGTACAGGACAGAGTTGTGGGGAGTGAGCGGATTCAACAGAAACAGTGGGGAGCAGAACAGGCAGATTGACTGAAACACACTGCTGAGGGGAGCAGTGGGTGAGACAGGAGAAGTCTGCTGTGCCTGTGGGTCAGCTCCCTGGCCAGGGATCGAAGTCATGCTGCAGTGGTGGCAGATAGCTTCATAGTGCTCGCTTTAAACCCTTCTACCACTCTTTCTATAAACTATGGTGTCACAAGGGGTCAAGGTAGCTAAGACCGTGGAGGCCAGGGCTGCAGTGTCTTCTCACTGTCATGAGCTGTCTCTCAGTGGTGAGTGGCACCTAGAAGAATCTTCCTTGGTTGGAAGGACTGCATCTAGAGACAGTTACATGAGCTTTGTCTTTCCAAAATCTTTCCTTTATTTCCTTAACTGATGTGTTTATTTCTGGGTTTGAACTTTCACTCTATTTCTACTTTCTTAAAAAATGATGCTGAAGTCTTTTTTTAGACACACTTTTTTTTTTTTTTAAGAGATTTTTATTTACTTGTGCATACAGAACTGGGGCACAGGCCAGAGGTGCAGGGGTGGTGAGAGGATTCACCAGAGACAGAGTGGGGAGCAGAACAGACAGATCGACGAAGTACACTGCTGAGGGGAGCAGTGGGCAGGTCAGGAGAGGTCTGCCGCGCCATGTGGTCACCTCCAGGGTGGGTGGAAATCGAACTCATGTTCAAGTGGCTTTAACTTCTCAGTGCTGTGCTTTACCCCACTGCACCACCAGGGAGGGCCCGCTGAAGTCTTTCTTAAGGAGAGTCTTTTTATATAAAGGGAAAAAATGTTGCTCTTTTGAAGTCCTTTTTTTTTTAAGATTTATTTGTTTATGCATACAAGAACTGGGGTACAGGCCAGAAGTATTGGGGGGATGGTGAGGGGATTCACCAGAGACAGAGTGGGAAACAGATCAGGTAGATATACTGAAATACACTGCTGAGGGGAGCAACAGGCCAGACAGGAGAGGTCTCTGTGCCATATGGGTCAGCTCCCTGGCGGGGGATCCAACTTATGCAGCAGTGGCTGTGGATAGCTTCATAGTACTGTTATTAACCTCTTATACCACCAGGGAGGCCTCTAAAGTCATTATTAATGATGTCACTAATATCATTAATAAAGTATACCTCAGAACATATTTTTAAAATAACTCCTACAGATCCCGTCTAGCTCATTGACCTTGAATTCATATCTTTGCCTTCCTTTTTCAGTCCTGCACAGATGTGAAGACCCAAGTTAGGTGTCAGGCCCCAGCCTGGCTTCGGCGTCTGTGTGGGCAGCTGCTCTCTGAAAGGTTAATGAGACCCAATGGTGTCCAGGCAGTGGTCCGGGGCATTTTGGAAGGAGCAGGTGGTAAGAACTAACATGTTTCTGCTATGTTGGTGTCCATTTCCCTTCAGGGCAGTCTGAATTACTGGTCTTTCACATCTGACTGTCAGACCTGACTGAGACCAAACTGCGGTTGTGGACATTTAGGAGTTAAGCCATCATGACCTTCTTGTCCAGAGAAACTCATTTTCTTGCCATTTGTCTTTAACACTTATTGAATAACAGTGTCAGCTCTTTCAAATAATCTGTAATGGCAGAGAAAATAATAGAGCCCAGAGAATTTAAGTAAAATCCTAAGGAAAATGCAGTAATCTCAATGGAAAGGGGCTTTGTGCTTCTTTCCCCCAGGTGCTCACAGCACTTCACCTGAGGACTTAAAGTACAAAATAGTTTCTGTAAGCTAGAGATGCCTCAGAGATGCAAAGTTGGGGATGAAACTGGAGGTTTAATTCTACAAGTATATTCTCTAGTTCTGGTAAATAGAAAATAAGTTCAAGATCATGCAAAGTCTTTTAAAATTTAAGTTTATATTAATTTAAATTAATTTTCAGTAAATAATAACAATAAACTAATTAAATCAATTATAATTTAATTTCTATACAAAATCATATGTGCACATCACTTAAAGAGTCAAACAGGCCCACAAGGCTGCTAGAGAAAGAGCCATGCTTGGCACCGTCACACCCGCGTCCCACTCCAGGCGTCACCCTCTTTGAGCTCTGTAACTGGATTCTTCTAGTGTTTACCTGTTTGTCTAGCTAGAATGCATATACAACATTTTCTTAATTTCTTGGTGTTTGCCATCATCAATTTCTCATCATATGTAGAAGAGGATTTTATTTTCTTTCAAATCCTTATTGCCACTCCACCAAACATCCAGCCCCTTAATATAGTTATAGTTTAATTTTGATTAGATTGATATTGCTTTTTTTTAATGCGTTCATTATTAATACTCAAACTAATTAAGTCTCCTTTTTTTTTTTTAAAGATTTATTTTATTTATTCGTATAAAACTGGGGTATAGGCCAGAGATGTGGAGGGTGAGAGGATTCACCAGACACAGAGTGGGGTACAGAACAGGCAGATCAATGAAGTACACTGCTGAGGGGAGCAGCGGGTGGGTCAGGAGAGGTCTGCCTCGCCATGTGGCTGTCTTCTAGGGCAGGCGGGGATCAAACTCATGCGGAAGTGGCTTAAGCCTCTTTGTGCTATGCTTTAACCCACTGCACCACCAGGGAGGGCTCCTTTTAATACATTCGGATATATCAGATATTTGTTGACTGGGATATTCAGTGACTGATAGTAATTCAAGGTGAGGTTTCAAACCCAGGAAAGAGTCATATTTTACTCAAGAACTGCTTGATAATCACAAATTTGAGCTCAGTTTACATCCCTTGTTACTCAGTAGCATATGTGGAGAAGAAGAAAAGGAACAGGAGTCACTGATTATAAAACTGTAATTCTTGATGGGGGCTTCTGAGTTTTGTCTATAGTATAATAGTCCTTCTGTCCTGAGCTTTTAAGCCTTGTTCCTGTGGGTCTAATCAGCCTTTAATCTAAAGTCATGGATGCACTACTAAGGGAATCCCCTTCTGAAGGCCTCCCTCAGTGCCTGGGGCTACTGGGAGCACAAACCAGCTCCATCCTGAGTGAACTCTGGAGATTGTCCCACCTACACCTTTCTGATGGTTCTGCTGCAGCTGGCGGTGTTTTTCTCATACACACATACAGATTATACCAAAGACGAGAGGGAATATCTCTGCAGCTCTCTCTTTGTGTAACTTCCTCCTCTTTGATATTTATCCCTGAAGATTCAGCATCGGCCTCCCCGAACTCTGAACTAAGTTTTAACTTAACAGGTTGCCAAGCTTCCCCTCTGTGGTGTGATTTGAAAACTCTTCTGGTAACAAGTCAGGGTAAAACCATCAGACTCCCCTTTTTTGTTGAACCCAGTGCCCCAGGCTGCCAGTTACTCAATATGGTTGATAATCACTGCTTATTTTTGTCAGGTTTTCTAATCATGTGAGGGTAGATCCAGTTTCTGTTTACTCCATGAGGTAGTTTAAACGGAAGACACATATAATGGGCATCATCAGCATCAATGGAGCAAACACTGAGAGCAGCTAGGGTTAAGTTGTATGGATGAAATCATTATGGAGACAAAGTGCTGTCGTTGTCCCTGAGTTTCCCAGAAACCAACATCAAAATGAAAATGCTGAGGGATAGATCATTGTATAGAAGAAATACATAATTTCAGTAGAGAGAAAACCATACATGGGAGCTGCTCTGAGTTTTTGACATCTGTGTCATTGCTGACAGCGGGGGCGGCTGGTGGGAGCGACGCTGAGGCAACGGCTGCTGACTGGAAGAAGTGTGACTTGATTGCCAAGATATTGGCCTCTTGTCCCCAACAGTCTCTCTCACTGGAGAGTTACTACCAGGGTATCTGCCCGCAGGTAAGTTATTTTGTTTCTTTTGACTGTTTTAGGATTATCTGCTTATTTATAGAAAGAAGACTTTTAATGTGCTCTAATACTGAGGGAAAAGCAATATAATATTTATGTTTATTGTTCAGCGAAGGGCCTTTCTGGTAAGTGAATCCATCCCTATGGAGGAGACAGGCTGAATTGGTAGGGCTAAAATGCCTCACCATTATCAAATGACTAGCCCCACTTGCTCTCAGAGCTGCAAGATGGAACTAAAATTTTATCTTATTCCTTATCATTTGTTTTCTTTAGAAAATTTTTATTAAGTAAAGAAGGTAAATTAACACGATATACAGTTTAAAAAGGACAAAAGAGTAAACAGAAATGTATGTCTCCTTCCAAATTACCGCTCTCTTCAAGAATTAATCACTGTTACCAATTTCTTGTTTATTTTCTAGAGATGTTCTCTATATTACATATGTGCAATTATATGAATTGGTGTATGTTTGTGTATTCTAATTTTTATTTAAATAATAACATAACACACACACTATTTTTCACTTAACACTGTACCTTGGAATAAAAATTCATATTGACTCAAGTGAAAAACAAAATGAAAACTGTGTACTTTGGAGATCATTTCATGTAGTAGTTTCCTATAGAGCTACCCTGCTCTTTTTCATGAGCATATAGTATTTCATATTGATGTGCCATAATTTTTTAAAATAGGTTCCTATTAATAGGCATTTGAGTTGTTTCCATTCTTTTGCAATTACAAGTGTTTGCTGTTGCTAGTCTTCAGAAATCATGCACATGTGCAATTCTTAGGATTGAAATTATTGCTTCAAAGGGCATGGACATTAAATTTTTGACTGCTGCTACTATGTGTGTCTTCCCACATCTTTGTCTACAAGATACAGAGTCTTCTTAATCAGAATTCCCCAGGCATAACATTCCTTTTGGAGTAGAATCCAAAAAAGGTCCTTCAGTTGCTACGTTGTTCTTCAGCATTGTCATGGGCAGCATGGTTAGGAACACATGCAAAGGCCTGGTACTTAAAAGTGCTAAGTATAAAACATCTTGTAGGACAAAGTTAGCATTTGCGATGTTGAGCAAATATTTTCCAAAACTAGTAGTTCTAGTTTGGGTATTTAACAAAATGATGTAATTAGGTCACAGGTTTTAGATTTGCTGAATCTCTGTCAATGTCAGATGTCACAGTTTTTTGTTTTTTAAAGATTGATGTATTTATGCATACAGAGCTGGGGTACAGGCCAGAGGTTCAGGGGTGGTAAGAGGGTTCACCAGAGACAGAGAGGGGAGCAGAACAGGCCGACTGACGAAGTACACTGCTGAGGGGAGCAGCGGGCAGGTCAGGAGAGGTCTGCCGCACCATGTGGATCACTTCGGGGTGGGATTGAACTCATGCTGAAGTAGCTTTAGCTCGGATGTCATAGTTTTTTGTTTTTTATCATTAAACAATTTGTATTCATTTATTCATCTCCAAACCGTTTACTCCATTTCAGCATTGCAGTGGCAGGAGACTATTGTGACTGCTTGGGTGTGAGGTGGGAACCAGCTCTGGACAGGACAGCATCTGTCACAGGGCGCGCACACACACATTTAAACTGAGACTGGGGCAATTTTGACAGGCTAATGACCCTACTCTGGATGTCTTAGGAAAGTGGGAGGAAATAATAGCCCTTGGAGGAGACACATGCAGACAGGAGGGGAACATACAGGTGCCACATACAACAGTGGTCCTGCAGATGTCACAGTTTTTAACTGAAGATTTCTCCTGTCTGCAGAGGATGCAAGGGTGCCTTTAAAGTTGGGAACAGAAATGCAGTTTTTTTTGCCTAGAGCAAACCTGCTCATAATTATTGGAGATCAAATATTTTTGAAAATAAAATATAATATTTTGGGATAATTCAGACACAACAGACTGTACAGGCCCCTAAATATACTATAGACTTGATCCTATAAATTTTATTTGTCAGTGCTATTTATGATAGTAAGATTTTTGGGGAAAAGATGTCTAGCAATTAGGAAAAATAAATTCTTCCATATAGCTTGAATTTAATATTTTAGAGGAAAGTGTAAAAATATTGGAAAGTTTCAGAAATACACAGAACTGAATGTTAAGGGTGGCCTCAGTTTAAAAGAAAAAGTATTTTATAGAGTTGTATTGGAAAAAATATGTCACTGCTTTTTCAGAGAAGACCTGTTGTAGATGTGTTTTTTCAGGTGTGGCTGCTGGGAAGTTTGAATTGAACCTTCAAGTGACCCTTCTGGAGGGGTGTCTTCCTCCTTCCCAGGGGAAGTGGCGACCCAGGGGGTGGAGTCCCTTGATGCTTCTGGACTTCTGTGGGCTTTTCCTGGAGCTGCAGCACTGATAAAGGCTGTCCTTAGGACAGGCTCAAAGGTGACTGGTCGGTCTGGTCGGTAGCTGGTATCGAAGTGGCCATTGTCTTCTTAGCTGGGGAAGCAGTCTTTCACTCACAGGGCTGCCATCCCTCTTTCCTGGACTTGCTTTTCTTAGAAGAAACCATGCTTTGACACGGGAAAGCGGTCCTCTCCAGTTTTCTGAAGAGGGCACCTGTCGTGGGCCGTGGCTGTAGAGAGGAAGCAGCGGTTTCTGTCGCTGTTGAGGCCTTTCCTCTCCGAGTTCAGCACATCGACATTCTCAGCAGCTGCCTTTCAGACTCTCACTCAGCAGCAGCTGGTGCTTCAGCCGAAGCTTCTGAATCTCGTTTCGGAGCTGAGAATTTTCAGACTCCAAAAATGCCTGCTCCATCTTGAGGCTTTGTATGTGTCCAGTAAACTTTGTTTAATTTTCTTCACCTGGTTTTCAGCATTGTTCTCGATTTTCTCCTGTTTGTCTCTTAAAGGACACTTTTGAGTTCCTAGCATAAATGAGAAGCTTCACATTCTCTTCCGTCAGAGAATCCAGGAGATGTGAGCCTCGTGTGTCTCTCCTTCCTTCGCCTTCCAAGGAACCAACCTCTGCATGTTCCTCTTTAACGCGATCAGGCAGACAGTGGTCTTTGACACCCGCCACAGAATGTGGTTGGCTCACTTTGTCACTGGCACCTGCTCCATCTGTGTGTGCGAGCGCTCCGAGTCTCCTCGCTCCTTCCCATGCTCTGGCTCCATCCCTCTCTTTCTTGGGACAGCAATTCTAGACCTTCCTGAAGACACTTATTTTCACCCACACCACCCAGTACTTTCTTCTAAAGGGGTCATGTGTGGTCCTGAGATTTTTTCACTATGTTTTTCACATCAGTCTCCGAATCGGTGGGCTTCGACTGCCTCTCCAAGGGACTGCGTCTGTCTCTGGAGGCAGGCCTTCAGGGGGCACTCACTTTTCTGTCCATTGTCAAGGAAGTTTCCCGCATCTCTAAGTGACAATCTAATTTGGATTTGATTAAGTGCCACCAAGCACAGGGCTTGTAACATAGGAGGCCTGGGCTCCACCATAGGCAACTCTAGAGCTTTGCAAGCTTGTGTCTGTAGTCTGGTTTCCTCTTCAACTTTTCCATGAGCTTCAACAGGCCTGACGTCTTTGGCCTTTTCTTTTTTTTCTTATCATCAGTCTCTTTACTACAGAAACCAGCAAGGTAGCACAGAGCAGGAGCTCCCCGGAGAAACCCAAGACTTGTCTCAAAACTTCCAACATGGCCTGCAAAGTGGCCCATAGTTTCTCCATGATTTGCTGGAAAGATGTGGGGTTGCAGGCAGCTGGCTCTCCCTGGCTCCACAGGGTCATGCAACTTTGTCCTAGGAACCAGTGTCCAGTGGAGCCACCCCTAGCCACCCAGAATCCTACAGAGTGTCCCCAACAGAGTGCCAGGCAACAGAGCTTACCATCACCTGGCTGGGGTACAGCAAAGTTCTAGAGGACAGTGCTCTCTGATCTCTCTGCTCACTGCACAGACACAGTTGGTATTACCTATGCAGGATAGGTAGGTGTAGGTTGGGACATGGAGAAGGCTGAGTGTAACTTGGAGCACTCTCCAGATTCCACCTGACTGTGCAGCAAGCCCAGAGACTCAAGGCCATGTATAGCATAGCTACACTCATGTGTCAGAGGCAGGTGGAGACATGGATATACAATTCGGAATCTGCAGACCACACCACGATGCACCAACTTCATTCTGTGAGAGCCAGGGAGTCCTAGCTGGTAGGGTTCAGAAATGCCACACTCAAGGCCACCTTGAAGCTGAGTAAGATGAATCACCAACTTGCTTGAGGACCTAGTTCTTCAATCCCAGGTTCCCTTTTCCCTTCCCATGCTCATTTTCAATCTTTATTTTCCAAACATTCTACATGAATATGTATGTTACAAATTTTATAAAATTATTTAAGAAAAAGCAGCTTCTTTAGTTCTCATACCCATCGATATACTGGGTTGTTAAAAATAAATAAACAACATCCTAGTTCTGTTGAATTATAGTGGGTTTATTCTTCAGCTTAAAGAAATTAGTGCTTCCTCTTCTTAGTTAATGCGATTCACCTTGTGAAGAACCTAGTGTTTAACTCATGTAACTTTTCTTTTAGATTCTGGATTTATTTCACTTTCAAGATAAATTGACAGCCCGACAATTCCAGAGAGTTGCCACCACTACCTTTATAACTCTGTCAAGAGAACACCCACAGTTGGCAGCAGATTATTTGCTGCAGCCCCTTTTGGCACCTCTTCATCGGTGCTCAAGCACAGCAGGTAAGGCAGGCTGTGTGTTGGCTGGGGGGCCCTCTGAAGGACCTTCTAGGTCTCAGATCTAAGTGACTTAAGTCTGTGGTATTTTAATAACTTCCACTTTTTATTTTGAAAAATCCACTTCATAAATTTTCCAGGAATATATTATATTGAAGATCATATTAAACCCTGTTCATTTCATGGAGACTGATCAACTTCATATCTTGACCACATTCAGTTTTATGCTCTCTACAGGCACACATATTTTTCCTGAAACATTGAAGAATTATTTATAGACATCACCTAATAAGCAGACCTTATTCAGATTTCTTTCATTTTCCCAAGAATTGAAACTGTTAGTTAAAAATCCAGAATCCAGTCAAGAATAATGCACTATATTTACTTGTTATGTCTTTTTTTTTTTTAAAGATGTATTTATTTATGCATACAGAATTGGGGTACAGGCCAGAGTTGCAAGGTGTTGAGAGGATTCACCAAAGACAGAGTGGGGAGCAGAATAGGCAGATGACTGAAAAACACTGCTGAGGGGAACAATGAGCAAGACAGGAGAGGTCTGCTGCACCATGTGTGTCAGCCCTTGGCTGGGGACCAAACTCATGCTGCAGTGGCTGCAATAGCTTCACAGTGCTGCACTTTAACCCATTGTGCCACCAGGGAGGGCCCATATTACATCATTTTTTAGTTTCCTGTAACATAGAATAGTTCCCTAGTTGTGCCTTTTACTCTTCATTGAAGAGCCCCTGTTACAGTTTAGACTATGGGCTCTAGACTTGGAGGCCGAGATTCATTCCTCTTGTGGATCAGTTATTTTTATTCCGTATCTTGTCTGTTCATTTAAAGTATTATTTACTGGACATCTCTTTCCGTACATTCTTCATGAGCTAGGTTACCAGCTATATGTCTTTCTTAGTGATACATAAAATAACTGTATGCTGATAATCAGTGGCATCATAGATTCCATGAAATCAATTTAATATTGCTGTATTGTACAATGGTAACCATGTCAATTTTTCGAATTTTTAATTTACTTGCTAACTACTGAACTATCTTTCTAGCAAAACTTACTTCCTTCGGCAGGTTTCTTCTGTTCATTGAGGAGCTGAGTTTGGCTAATTTGGTTTTTGTTCTCTAGAGATTCCAGAGAGTGACATGGCACCAGGGACCATTTTGGTGACAGAAGAAGAACTTAATAGATGTGTTGAGGATATTTTTAAGGTTGGTACTTCAGTCACTAATGTTTTAAGCTAGTATTTGTATTTGATCTAAAAATAATTTTCTTTTTAACTAGTCCTTCAAGAATTGGCATGACTGGTTTTACATTCTAAACTGTCAAAATCTTTTTACTTTGAAAACTAGAAATAACAATCTGTGAGTAGAACTGATACACTTTAAAACTATCTGTTTCATTATTTACTTTGAATGTTAAGCAGTTTATATTCTCTACTGGCACGTATCACTGATAAAAGTATGTGAATGCATTTACCATACTGTAGGCTTCCTAGAAGTGTATGATAATATTGAATCTACTTTATAAGTTTTGATAGTAATTACCATCACTAAGAAGTCTCAATAAATGAATACTGCAAATGACTAACTAAATACATATTGAAAATGCAAAAAAGAATATAAAAAAGAGTAAATTGTATGTTTTCTATGATTATAATTTTATATATGAAATACATATTTTAAGGCAAAAATAAAGTCCATTGTGTTAAGACCAGATGGAGTTGGGATAAATGGTCTTCAAAGTTGACTTTAATAAATCTGAAATTATATTTTACTATTAGAATTGCTCATATTAGTAAACACCTTTCAAAATTTTATTTCATGTAAAAAGATGAAACAGCCACTTTGGAAAAGAGTTTAGCAGTTCCTCAAAAAGTTAAACATGAGGTCATTGTGTGACCCGCAGTTCCACTCTGAGGTATCTACCCAAGTGAAATGAAAATGTATTCACATAAAAACTCATGCACAAATGTTCATAGCAGCACTATTTATAATAACCAAAATGTGGAAACAGCCCGCATGTCTGTCAACTGATGGATGAAGAAACAAATGTGATATACCCATATAATGGAATAATTTCAGCCATAAAAAGGAATGAAGTATGGGCTCATGCCACAACACAGATCATCATTTGAAAGTTTTAGTTTTTAAACTTTAAAAGAAGCCAGACACAAAAGAATACAGTATTGCCTGATTCCATTTTTATGACATGATCACAGTAGGCAAATTCTTAGAGGTGGAAAATAGGTGAGTGATTGCTGAAGACAGGGGTGGGGAAATTGGGCGTGACTGCTAATGGATATAGACTTTGTTTTATCTCTAAGATAAGGAAAATGTTCTGGAGTTGGACTGTATGACGGATATACAGCCTTGTGAATATACTCAAAACCACTGGATTGTTCGTTTTGGGAATGAATTTTATGGCATGCGAATTATAGCTCAGTAATCAAAAACATATTCCACATCTCATTTCTATCCTAGGGCAGCAAATTACACATTTTAGAGTGTAATTTACTGGTTACTGGGGGCATAGTCAGGGGAAGGAGGCCAGTGGCGCTGGGGGCTTGGTGGAGGGTGAGTGACGCTTGTGCATGATGGGGCATGAAATCTCACATGAACTCCCACTGCACATCATTATGGAAATGACTGGCAAAGCAATAGACTTTGAGAGAAGAAAAGTTTAGTTTATTATGAAATAGTTCAAATGAAAAGAAAACACTTCATTCCCACGACTAGCTTAAAATATTCAACACTACCATGTTAGTCGAAGTCCTCTGTCTACCTGAATGTCCCTTGCTTCCCACTGAAGGGGCCAATACCTTGAACTTATATTGTTGCTTAAGCTGTTTGTAGTGGTACTGTGTGTGATTTTGCATTTTGTGTAAATGGCATCGTAATTGTTCATTTTCACTGTTCACTTTCACTGTTAAATATCTTATCCCATTATATGACTGTATCATCATTTGGTTTTTAATTCTTCTATTGGGAGACATTTGAGTTGTTTTCAGGGAATTTTGCCAGTGTTGGGTGCATTGTGGTTTTAAGTAGCAGCTAGTTTTTTATTATTTGTAGGAGTTGATCTTTTTGTGTTTTGTCGAAGTTTCAGCCTTATACCTAAAACATATACAGTGTTGTAAATTGATGTTACTTCAATGAACATAATTAAAATAAATTTGAAAATGGTTATGTCAAAAGGCTTGAAAGTGCTGGCAGAGGTAGGACTAATGGTGAGTAACCTTTGGTCCAAACCTCTCATACTGTTCCTTATTTCTTGGAAGTCAACAAATTGCTTTTGGGGGATAAAGAAAGCAAAACAGTTTCTTTAAGTCAAGTGAATTAGCCAGTAAAAAAACCAGAAATAATGAATCCTGCCTTTTCTACTATTTCTGCCCTCAAAGAAGGGGAGGGGATCCTCATAGTTCAGTGAATAGTTTAGTGAATTTAAAACATCCTGGAGAGGCAAACAAAACATTAGTTTGCTGTAGACACTTGATTATGCACAGGGATTGGTCTGTCGTGAAAGCAGGAAGGGGTGCACGGGTAATTATTCTCTCTACGAGATTTGGCAGCTCAGCTGCAGTGGGAAAACAGAGGAAATGTGTATGTTGGAGGAAAATGGTAAACACTGTGTAAAATTTAGCAACAAAGGATGTGTTGTCTTTATTAGCTTTCTGCTAATACTAAATTACAGAGTACAGCTCAAAGGCAGGAAATAAGGAAAACAGCTGGGATGGTTGAATTGATCCAGCAACTCACTTGGTAACAAGAGGGTGTTTAATTTTAGAGAGCCATTTGGGAACATTTCCAGCTCTGATTTCACTCTTATTTTTTACAGATATGTTGAGATACAATTCACATAATGCACAATTGACACATATGAAGTGTTCATTTCACATGATTATGCAGCCATTACCACAGTCTAGTTTTAGGATACATTGTCCTTCTTAAAAAGACCCCATACCCATAACTTACATCCCATTCTCCCCCACTCCATTTTGTTCCTATCCCTAGGCAACCTCTAATGTACTTTCTGCATCTATAGGCTTGCCTGCTCTGGATATTTTATTTAAGGGGAATTATAATAGGTGGTCTTTCTGCAGTAGCTTTTAGCTTAGCATGATCTTTTTAAAGATCATCTGTATCACAGCAGTAAGCTATCCTTCATTCCTGTTAAGGCCAGATAACATTCCATTAGCATTCCAGCAGTCTATGAAAATTTTGATTTATCCATATTCTCATCATCACATTAATATCCCTTTTTCAAAAGTATAGCCCTCCTACTAGGAGTAAAGTAGTATCGCACTGTGGTTTTGATTTTCACTTCCTTGATGGCTGTCATGTGAAGCCTGTCATGTGCTTATTGGACGTTTGCATGTTATCTATAGAGAAATGTCTGCTGGGTCCTTTGCTCCTTAAAATATTAGATGGTCTTTTTATCCTTGCTGGGTTGAAAGGTGGGACTTATTCTTCCCAATAGCTCCTTCCAAATCCTCCTTATCAATCTGCTCTGTCTCCACACTTTTGTTCCTTCTCTATGCTCTTTCTAAATGGAGGCTTCTTTAGTGGTCCTGTTTTCATCTTAGTCTGTTGTTTTACTTTGAAGCTTTAAGTCTGTTTTATCTTGGTGGCTCATTTGACATTTCCAGTTTGACTTCCTGTGTCACCTGTATTATGACAGCTGCCCATCTGGCTGCCGTCTCAACAGCTAAATGCAGAGCCCTGAATGCCGCAGAGCCAGTTTCTTCTTTATCCTCATCCATTATCAGATTGGTTATCTGGTTTTCAAGACCATAACAGAACTAGAAGTAACAAATTAGAAGTTAGTTATACTAAGACATGCTGACAAGTGAATGACAGCAGAGAAAAGCAAAAAAGGAGACAGAAAAATACCTAAAAAGAGCACAGTTTGAAAAGCAAAGCATGTCGAGGCTGGTATGTTCAGTATACTTTATTTAGGGAGGCATAGAATCCATTTTGGAGGGATATAAAAGACTTGAAATAAGCATTTTGGTAGTTAAAGGCATAAACCCTCATCCTCTGAAAACTCTGTGGCTGGAACAGTTGCTGGGGAAGGCCTTTACACCCTTCCCTCCTTCACAGACAGCAGCCCGTGGGGCCGTGTGCTCAGCTGGGCCTTGTGGGATGTTTGCCACACTGTGGGTCAGACACAGAGACTAATCCTGTGGAATCGAAAACTCGGGGTTGCCACTTGTACTTCACCTGCCTAAGTAATGCTCGCCATTTCTGTGAGTGTACCTTACATCTGGTGTTCATCTCAACCACTTTCAGGCCAATGGCTTCTCACACTCTCTCCAAACATGAGGCCTGACCCTTAGAATGCTTCAGTTCTTTTGTCCTCCTGGGTATGAGAGGGGTACATAGTTTTTCTTTGTCCAGAGCAGGGAAAGAGACCCAGAGGGCATAGACATTGGTTGGGGGGGGGCAGGGTAAGAATTCCATTTTTTTCTGATTTGGATATATTCTTGCTCTTAAGCGAACTGCCAGAATCTGACACTGGACAGGGGTATGTTTCTATTTAATATTCTTTGCAATACTCTCCCGAGACTCCCTCAGGGTAGGAGAAATTTTAAGGTAGGAGAGGTTAGAAGATACCTAATTAGTTTATTTTCTCCATTCTCATTCCCATCTTATCTCTGTTTCCAGATTGAGGGGATCTTGACTTTAATTATCCAAGTCTTTTCCCCCCAGTTAATCTTAATGAATTTCTAATTAAATTTTCTTTGTGAGACCGGCCTGTTGGCTTCTTTTTGTGAATTTTTAATTCTTTTTGGAGATTAAGTTAGAATAATGGAATGGTAGAGTTGGAAGTAACTTTAGAAATAGTTTAGTCTAACCCCTATTTTGGGGGAAAAACTTTACTTTTTAAAACAATTTTAGGTTCACAGAAAAACTGAGTAGAAAGGACAGAGAGTTCCCTTACACCCTCTGCCTCTCCACATGCACAGCCTCTCCTACTGGCAAGATCCCACACAGAGGGACATCTGTGATCGTCCATTTTCCTATGTTGACATGTCACTGTCATTAGTAGCTTATATTGGGGTGCTCTCGTCGTGGTACAGTTTATGAGTTTGGACAAATGAAATTGACAATAAAGGAAACAAAAGTCCAAAGATTATGAAATAACTTGTCCTGAATCGCACTAGGGAATGGAGTGATCCAGGGACTGTTCTCTCTTTCTCTCACTCTGT